TAAATCATTTTGCTTTAAATCTTTTGCTTTTTGTACTAGACATCTGTCCTAAATACTTTGTAATAATTTCTAGCTAACTCTGAGTCTAATATAACCATTTCTGAATATAATTTCCCTGAGGCTCCTACAGCCTAATGTGTTCCATTAAAAGTAACTAGTTTTTGAGTCCAGATATTAATTATAAGTATCTAAAGGTTCACATTACTATTCATTTTCCTGATATATAGAATCCTATTTGCATACGTATCTCTTTCTGTAAATTCTGTTTTATATAGTTTCTTAATTATATATTAAATAAATATTACTATTAAGTTAGTTGAATGAATGTATAGCTCATTCAGTTAAGACATTTGGCCGCGTAGACCCAGGTTCACATCTCGCTGTTTCACATATATTTCTTCTCTTTTTACTCTTTCTGATATCATTTACCTTTAGAGACATCTCTCGTTCTTTATAATAAAGTATTTAATTGTTTATCACACATCCTCTTTATACTTTTTAAAAAGAAAGGCATACTGTTTATCTGTTCATTGAGAGTCCAACTTAACGGGATTTTACTGTATATATATGTATATATATATATATATATATATATATATATATATATATATATATATATATATATATATATATATATATATATATATATATATATATATATATATATATATATATATATATATATATATATATATATATATATATATATATATATATATATATATTATATAGAATCATTTGACAACATTTTTTTATAATTTTATTATTTATTATTTAAACTGTTAACAGTTAATATCTTAAATATATCGTAACATAAAATCTTTTGCGTCTTTTTCGTAACTACACATTCCAGAATGCTTTTCCCGTAAGGAAATATTTCGTAAGTATTCTTACGAAAAGTTTTCTTTCGCAATGCTTTATTACGGAATTTTATTGGTACTAGGTAAAATGCGAACTGCGAACCGCGAACTGGTAAAATGCGAACTTTTTTGCGAACCATTGTCCTATTGGTTGTTAATGATGTAATGTTTTATTTCCGTTAAATAATTTATTTAACGGTATATTTTAAGGACTTTTAAGCGAAAAAATTAATTAAAAATAAATAAAAGGAAATTAAGTGAAACTTAAAAAAATACAATATAATAATTTTTTTTTTAAATTATTTGATAGACTGCCCGCCCAAACCAAACCCTCAGTCGATTTAGCAGCACTCCGTTGCGAGTCAGGCTATAAGATAGTCGATGTAGCAGCATTCCGTTACGAGTCAGGCTATAAGATAGTCGATGTAGCAACGCTCTACGCATGTTTTACAGTTAAAAAATAAAAATTTACTTTAAATAAAGCCTTAAAATAGATAATTAAGAATTGGAGAGTTTTTTTATTAATATTTTTATCATAACAATAATGGTCTCTAAAATATAATGTTTTGGTTCGCAAAAAAGTTCGCATTTTACCGGTTCGCAGTTCGCGGTTCGCAGTTCGCATTTTACCGATTACCAATTTTATTTACTATTTTTATTTTCGTATAGCGCGTTATGGAATGTGCATTTTTGCATGTGCAACTTCCGCAATAACAATTCTATTACGGTAGATAAAGATGCGAAATTTTCGCAAGTTTTGTTTTTCGGCGAACAACCCTAGATTAAACAAAAAAAAATATCCACCACTATCATTGAAACAAATATAAATGATTTCATTTATATCTATATAATATAATCTGTTCTTCGTCATTTTTTAGAATTGATTTTTGAGCGATCTATAAATGCAATTAAGAAACGGTTTGAAGCATTAACTAAAGAAATTATTTACAATTCAAAGATAGTTTTAAAGTTTTCCCTAATTGCTAGAGATGTTTAAAAATATTTAAAATTGTTTTTGCACCGTCATGCGGGTCACTCGTCGTTTAGAAATTTTATAAACCGCCTTACGGGTCACTAGGGGCCATCCAGAAAAGACGTCACAAATTTTAGCCAATTTTTGACCACCATCCCCCCTTTGTCACAGGTTGACCTTTTTCCCTATACCCCCCTTGAAAAAGACGTCATAAAATCCTGAACCACCCCCCCCCCCCTATTTTTAACTCCAAAAAAATTTATTTCATCTCGCAATGATGTTTGAATTTGCTGCTACACCTTTGAAAAATAAAATTAAAAATATTCTTATACATTATCTTCATAAAAACACATGTTTACGTAGTTTTCCATGTTAATTAAACTAAAATAAAATATCTATAAAGTGACGTCCTTTTCTGACAACCTCCCCCCTCCCCTTGTCCTTTTTAACTCAACCCGCTCCCCCCTCCCTATTCGGATGACGTCCTTTATGGATGGCCCCCTAGATAAATTGCGAACTGCGAACCGCGAACTTGTAAAATGCAAATTTTTTTGCGAACTATCGTTGTTAATGATGTAATGTTTATAGCGGAATATTTTAATATAGCGGTATATTTTAAGGACTTTTAAGAGAAAAAATTATTTAAAAATAAATAAAAAGAAATTGAGAGAAAATAGAAAAATACAATACAATTTTTTTTTTAATTATTTGATAGACTTTCTGCCTAAACCAAACCCTCAGTCGATGTAGCAGCACTCCATTGCGAATCAGGCTATAAGATAGTCGATGTAGCAACACTCCGCGCATGATTTACAGTAAAAAACTAAAAAATTTATTTTAAATAAAGCTTTAAAATAAATAATTACGAGTTGGAGAGTTTTTTTTTATTATTATATTTATTTTAACAATAATGGTCTTTAAAATAAAATGTTTTCGTTCGCATTTTACCGGTCCGCAGTTCGCGGTTCGCATTTTACCGACAACCTATAAAAAATGAACAACAGTTGATTATGTTTACAAGAGTTATTTTTGTTTACTTTATTCTTTAGAACTTACTTTTGCGTTTAATGTCACGATATAAACTGCCATTATAAACAACAATCATGACATGGTTGGTTAACGGCAATTTAATATATCCATACATTAAGCCACATAGTTTGTTTTAATGTATTTTTATAAGTTTCAAAATTTAAAATAGATTTTAAAACGTGAATTTTTCTTGAATTAAAAACAGAATTTCAAAGATTTTTTGAATTAAAATAGTTTTTTATATTTAAATTATAAAAAAGTATTCATTTATTTATATTGTTTTTATTCAACATAACTAAATTTGTTCAAAAAAGTTGTGGTTTTACTGTCACAGTACATGCTAGCTGCAATTTAGTTAACAAATGGCCTTAACGTAACATAAGACCAACATTTATCTCTTTAGCATTGAAAATGTTCGCGTAACTTTTGAATATCAAATCTTGCGTACTCTAATTATTTTTTGTTTAAAAACTTTAATTTTTATAACGATCGTTTAATAGTTTCATTCGCGGATTTAGAAACACTTAAACGCGGTGTTTATTAGTCTAAACTTGAAACTGAATTTTTCTAAAAAAGATTAAATGTTTAGTTGGTTTTTATTTAATTCTTTCTAGCTTTTATTTAATTCTTTCTAGCTAAAAGCAGTTTAAATTCTTCCATTGTTTTTTTACTATATTTTCTAAATATTATAGTTTTCGGTAATTAAAATTACGTTTTAAAACTGCTACTTATGGAGAGAGAGAACAAAACTTTTTACAAAAAAAATGAAAACCATTTAAAAAAAAGTATTTTTACTTAAAATATTTGTTTCAATATTTATTAACATTTTATATAAAAATTTTTGATCGTTTAAGTAAAATTTAAAGTCGGTTTAAAATTAAGTAAAAACGTCAGATGAAATATGAAATTTCGAACTAAAAATCTTCGAAGAAAAATTCTACTAAACCATCGAATTTTTTTTTTGATGACGAAGACTTTTTTTATTTTGTTGATCTCTTCAAGAAACAATGGCGAAAACCTTGAAAAGTTATTTTTTTGTAAACATAAATTTGTGCAAAAGGTTTATAAAAAGTGCAAATCTAATAAAACAAGTAGTTTTATTCAAAATTCAATCAACTTAAAAACTTATGACTTTATCTTAAATACGATATTATTTGAAAAGAAATTGATAATAAAATAAAAAAAATTAACATTTTATTTTAATTTGCATATTTAGATTTTTTAATTTAATTCTTAAACATCACAAAACATAAAATAATTAATATAAATAAAATATCAAACAAACATTTATTATTTATTAAAACAAATATTTATTAACAATAATATTTAAAAAATTATATATTAAGAACATAATAATTAAAAACTGAAAATATAATATTTAAAAAAAACAACAATAAATCATGTAACGTAATTTATAATTTTACAAGTATAATATTATTATTAATAATAATATATATGAAAATTTATATATTATAATAATATATTTAATAATTTATATCATAATTATAACTACTAATATATTTGAAAACGAATTATTAATAAAATATTTCAATAATAAAAAATTAAACTTTTAAATATTAAATCTAATAAACTAGTAAAATTAATTTGTATATTTAAAAACGTATTTATTATAAAATAATACATTTAATATTTCATTAATTATTTATAATTATTGTTTTTATTTAGTATATTTAAGGTATTTATCTTAAAAAGTTATTGTTTTTATTTAATATATTTAAGGTATTAAATATTTTTAAGTATTGTAAAGTTTTTTAATTCATCGAGGGTATAAAAATAATTTCCACGGTACCTGATCGAAAACTTCTTGACATTCGAACAACGAATCCATTCATAAAATTCTTTAACAAAATCAATGTCGTCGTGAAGTGAAAGATTAATGGACTCAACGTAACATAAGACCATGTATATGAAAATTTATATACTATAATAATATATTTAATAATTTATATCATAAATATAACTATTAATATATTTGGAAACAAATTATTTATAAAATATTTTAATAGTAAAAAATTAAACATTTAAATATTAAATCTAATAAACTAGTAAAATTAATTTGTATATTTAAAAACGTATTTATTATAAAATAATACATTAAATATTTCAATAGTTATTTATAGTTATTGTTTTTATTTAATATATTTAATGTATTAAATATTTTATCGTGTTGTAAAGTTTTTTAATTCATCGAGGTTATCAAAATATTTTCCACGGTACATGATCTCAAACTTCTTGACATTCGAACAACGAATCCATTCATAAAATTCATTAATAAAATCAATGTCTTTGTGAAGATAAAGATATAATTCTTTACAAAGATTAATCCACGGAAGAAAATTTTCTTCAAAATCTTTTTTTGTTATTAAATAATCTGAGATCCATATCCTCAACACTTCAATCTTATCTTTCGGTTTCCAACCTTCGATATTAATTGAACACCAAAAGAAGACATTGCGAACATTAGTTGAACATTGTATTAAAAGTTTTTCTTCTTCATCACTTAAAATATTTTTATTAACTTGTAACCACGATAACTTTCTTCCAGATTTTACGTAATGATTTATGAAATAATTTTCGCAAGAAGTAAAGTAAGAAGTTACTCCATCGTAAATCGAAATCCACCACTCTCGTTCATCAACAATTGATTTAATTTCATCATTAAATGATGATTGACTTTCATAAAAACATTCAATGAATAAATCTTCATCACCTTTACTTAAACGATCTAAAGTAACATTAAATATTAATTATAAAAATGAACCAATAATAAAAATAATAATCAAAACTATAACATTATATACATTATAATATTTTACATATTCATACATATAATTTTAATTAACTAATGATTGAATAAAAAACATACAACTTTTTATTTTTATTAAATAGACTATATTTTATACAATAATATTATATACATAAATTTATATTAAATTAAAATGATATAAAAAAATAATAAAAGTGAGAAACCTTTAGATAAAATAATTCATATGAAAAATAAATATATATAAAAATGTAATATAAAATATAATAAAAAAGACAATTTTTTAATTTTGTTAATTTATCATATTTCTAAAATAAAATAATTTAAATATAAGTTATAAATTAAGCATATTTAAAATAACATAACAAAAATTAGAACGGTTGTTCACACACATAAAAGATTTATAATTATGAGACATTTACACATCAAAATCAACATAATTTCATCATTAAAGCTACAAAATGTAATATATATATAATATATAAAAACAAGCAACAAACATAAGATAAACCAATTGAATTTAAAAATTACAATAACATCACATCAAACGACATTTTGTTTTAAAAAGTAAAAATTAAATCCATGAAACAATCATTTCAACGCAAACAAGAAAATAATTCCTCATTCACAATTGTTTCATGTAAATCATATTTCTCTGAAACTTTTAGCAAAAGAAACAGGTTTTTTCTAAAATATCAAACTTAGACGAAAGATTAAAAATAAACGGGTAAAAATGCAATTAAATAATAGCTCAGTATGTTTTAAAATTAGTATGGCATAGGTACTTACATACCATTATCATACTGTACTAGTTTTTTTGCATACTAAAGCATGCCAAACATTTTTTAAAGTAAAAAATTTGTAAATCAATAAATTCTACGCGATGAAAATATATTTTTTGTAGCGTAGAGTTTTTGTGACGAAGGTCTTACCATTATACTTCATAAAAGAATTTTTTTCAAGGTTTATAAATATGCATTTTTTTTTTGCACCACTAACATTTTGAAGGCAATTTGATTTATTTTTTAACATATTTTCTAAATCTTAATTTATAATATTCTAAATCTATTTTCGATTTACCTTTCCATAAAAAAAAAACTCACTCTTTCAAACTCAATTATCGCATTTCCAAGAGATTAAATAGAAAAAAAGTTTGAACATTATAAAAACACGTATTTATTTGCTATATTATATTTAAAAAAATAAGCTTAAAGATAGAAATCAAAATATTATAAAAAATGTTACATTAAATTTAAAGGTTTACACATTTTAGCACCTTAATCTTGTATATTTATAATATAATTTAACTAATATATCAACAATAAAAAAATACTTATTATCATCAAATTTACACGAAAAACAGTCGTCGTAAGTTAAGGTTATGTAACAATAAAAATTTTGTTTTAAAACATAAACTTTTTTAATAAAAACAAATAAACGAATATAAAACTGAAGAATACTTACTTACGAATTTTTAAAAGTATTTGTGACCAGTGTGAAGTTTAATAAACAATCGTAACATAATAATTTCGTACTTTTTCCAAAAAAAACAAAACGTTTGGTTTTATATACATAAAACTCGATAATCGAACTTTATAAAAATCTTTTCACAAATTCGAACAAAAAATTTAAATCAACCGCTTAGTTTTATAGAATTATATCGTAACTATCGCAACCGTTTAAAATGAAAGTATTTGTGAGTTCACAAAAAAAAAAACGTTTAGATCACCTTTTAAGCTTGATAACACGTCGAATAATAAATTATACATTATTTTATACAGAAAATAAACTATTAATTCTATTAAGTATAATGATGTGAAATAAATAAAACGAAAAATAAAAGTAATAAAAAAAAATTTAGTTACTGTTATTTTTTCTGACGTTATAAACGTAATTTAAACTTAGCGTAATCTAAATATAACGTAATAATAAACCAGATAAAAAAACCACAAAAAAAAAAAAAAAAGTGAAACGCATGTTTTTTAAACAGAATTTGTAATGTGGTTATTAATATTAGTATACATATTATTATTCATTAGTTTGTAAATTAATATCAGTATACATATAAATAAACAATAAACCGAATAAAAATTAAATAATATAACTAATTTTATTAAAAATTTCTCATTATATAAACGTAACAAGACATTTGTCTTGTTATGTTTATATATATAAACTTTATATTATATAATTATATTATATAAACTTTATATTATGTAAACTTATATTTATATCAGTTATAAACCATATCTTTCATAAAATAACTTTCTTTTGCCTAATTTTATTTTTGCTTAGAGACGTTGTTTTTTTTGTTAAACACGTGACAAACAAGAGATTGAGAAAAAAAAAATTTTTGCTTAAAAAGTATAAAAAATTCACTAATTTTAAAATAATAGTATTTTCTATAAAAGCTTTGATCTTCAAAAAAATAATTAAAATTAATTATTTTTTTGAAGATCAAAGCTTTTATAGAAAATTAAAACAATAAAAAAATGGATGTATTTATCCTTGTTCGACGGAGCATATACCACAAGAGCAGATCTTCTTGTTTCATTCTACTTAACTTTTTATTTTGACAACAATCATTCAAAAAACAAACCATCTAGTTAGGTTATCAGTAAAACTAAATCTTTACTGAAGGCCTTACAATTCTGTTCAAAAGTATGATTTTGTCTTGCATCCTCTATAAACTCAAGTTGGATGAGAATTTATATCCAAATTAATACATGGTCCATAAATTGCTTCACTAATTGAATTAATAAACTAACCTTATCCAATAAAATAACCTTTTGTCTTAATTGCTAAAAAAAATGAAATTAATAAATTTCAACTATTATACAAATTCATTGAGAATAATTTATCTGAACTATGATGCACTTGTGCTATCTTTTGCAAATGATGGTTTGTGATCAGATTCAAAACTTTTATTTAAAACACACAAATTGAGATCTGGTCAAAGCAAACACAAGTTAATTTAAAAACAAAAATCTCTTTACAAAGGTATTTATCTCTGCTCGAGAAAAACTACAAATAATAATAATACTAATAAAAATAATAACTGCTTTACTTTGAAAAGTATCATAATTTATAAATAATTTCATCAAATTGATTTTTGGTGCATAAAAAAAAGCCATATAACTTGTAGAAGAACAAAAAAGCGTTTTAAAAAAACCTTAAGTAAAAGTAAGCTAACTTTAAAACATCTAAAAAAATCTGTGTCTTGTGATTTTAAAATCAGAATAACTAGAAAATAACTTGGAAATTGAGTAATATTTTACACAATAAAAATTACTTATACAATTATTATTACATTAATATCAGAATAAATATATAGTGAAATTAAATCTATTCTCTACTTATTTATAATATATTTTAGTAACATTATATTTGTTAGATCAATAACTTTGTTTTATTTTTATTTTTTATAAGTATTACAATTTAAATCACTTTCTTGTAGCTTAGTAAACTGAAATGGTGAACTCTTAAACTGTGATTAATCTTATCAGTTTTAAATTAAATCTCAAATCAAATTTAGACAAAAGCAGATTTGCTTTTTATTTTAAATTTTTATTTACTTAGGTTTTTGTTTTATTGATTGTTGATATTAATTCCATATACATTATTGCACCAAAGACAATGTAGATTTAAACTGTGATTTAGCTTAAACCTCACCTATTTATGTGCATAGAAATCTAAAATACTATATTTACTATAACAAAATTGAGATGGTGTTAACCTAAATAATACTAGTCTACTTTGAACTATGCTATTAGATACTGGGATAAAATCTTTTATTTTGCATAATTAAGTTCACCTGGCCACTGTTTTAATTCTTATTTATACAGGATTGATTGTAAACTACTTTGACTGTAAACTAGATAACTTAAGAACACAAAAACTAGTTTGTTTTAGCAGCAAAGAAGTACAAAATAATTAATTTTCTGACCGCCTGATGAAAACGAATGAAAACAAATATTTGCTTTAGTTAGTTTTTGGATTAAAGATAAACTATTGAAGTTAAGTGTATCCAATCAATTACAAAGGCAAATTTATACCGTTTTCAAAAGAGTAATTATAGATCTGTCACAAAAGGAATTAAAATTGCTTGCTTACTTTGTGACATCATTTTTCTGATCTGGATATTTTTGACCAAGACCTGGCTTATTTCATTTACTATATAATGAAAGCAGATGCTGAATAAAAGAATATCAAAATTCAGCTTATAAAAAAGTGAAGCAAAACCGCCTACAAAAAGCAAAGAAGATGGACTGACACACCTAGATTTATTCCAGATCGATTAATTAATTAAAGAAATAATTCCAAACAATATTCCAAATGGTTTCAAAGATATGATTATTCAAACTTTTTCCTGAATAGTTTAGTTAAAGTTGTTACAAAGAACTGGAGAGGTTTTTTCATAACAAAAAAAAAAAACGTGGTCAAATTAACTTAAATTTGTAAGTTATAAAACATTTATGAAACATAAACAATTATAAAAATGAAAGGCAAAATAAGGTAGTACTTGTAAGTGCTTAATACACAGAAGTTGCTGTTAAATAATTTTTGGAAAATTTTCCTACTCAACCTAAATTTATTAGGACCTCCTCCCACTATTTATTCATTGTTCCGCCAAAAATAGAATATATTAAAATAAAAACCAACGTTTTTTTATTGACCAACGTTTGCCACTGTCCAATAGAGAAAAAAATATATATTATTTACTAAACTAATTTTGTCAAAACTTATTTAGTATAGTAAAAAAAAAAGTAAAAATAAAAATTCAAAAAAATATTTAGAAACATTGAATTAAAAAGTCAAATTATGATTCTAAACTTCCTCAATAAAATTTATCTATTAATGATGTACATTTGCTCATACATACAATGCTCATACATACAATACAGTACATACATACATACAATGTATGTACAATACATACATACAGTATACATACATACATA